GTCCCCATAAGCCGACTTCTCCCTCTCAAGTTTGGCCATCTCGGCCTGATGAGCATCTTTTTGCCGACCTACGAGTTCACGAGTCTCAGCACATTCTTTGCGAGTTAATTCATGATTGGCCTTTTCCTCTAATAGCGCCTTAGCCGTTTCTTCTAATTTGGCCTCTGAAGATTTGAAGTGCTGCTCCACCACAGCAAGGCGCGCTTTGAGATCGGCCACCTCGGCCACAAATGCCTTCTTCTCCTCGGACAATGTCGAAGTCTCAGTCCGCATTTTTTCCAGTTCAACAGCTTGTTCAGAAATCTGGCCCTTCAAGTCGGCCTCCATTTTGGCAGATTCTTCCTTCAACTGGACGATCACGACGTCGCGCGCAGCAATTATGTCCTTCTTCCCTTCAAACTGCGACGTAACTCGGCGGTGATCGTCCTCAGCAGCCACCAAGCTAACCAACGCCCTGCCTACACATGCTTTAGCGTAACTCAACCGGTCCACGCTTGACAGAGAAGAGACCCCTACCTCGGATTTAGGGGCCCACACCATTAATGGCACGCGGGCAGCATTTTTTGCACTCTCTGGCATTTCGATTCTCGATGACATGTGAGGTGTCTTAACGGACTGAAAAGTGGTGAACCACTCCTCCACCACGCCTTGGGGAACTTTAACATTAGCCGCCCGCTCCTCGTCAATGCTCAAAAAGGACTTCTCGAATAAGGGAGACTCATCATGACCCTTCTCAGCAGCTTTGCGACCGAAGTCGTGTTTTTTCTTTGATCTCTTCTCCGCTCTGGAAGAAGCACCGATGTCAGCCATCTTCACCAATTTTCGTTTTTTCTGCTTCTCCGGTTGCTCCAACTCCAAAGACTTCGGGGAAGAGGGTGGCACTTCGGTATGCACACCCTCAGCCATCACCACTTCTGTCCCCACGACAACAGGCTCTGGTTCCGCCTGGTTAATGGCAACTGCACTCACAACTGGTGGCACCTCGGTAGTGGTCACCTCTTGCTGCAAGGACTTCAGACTCTCCGGAATGGCAGCCGAAGTCGCACTTGACCCCACCTCGGTCGATTTTTTACCAGTGTTTTTCTGGCCGGCAGTCTTCTTCACCAACGCACGAACAAGATCTCTCCTCATGGCGTCGTTCAATCTTAAGTCTCGACTCTTACCAACTTTGGACTGAAGATCTCTATTCGGAAACTTGCGCCTAAACTCCTTAGCTTCCTTGACAGAGCTATAGCCCAGAAAACCGAGGAGTGGATAATACACTACATTTCGGCCATGAATAAACAAAGTTACAAACAACTGTTCTACTCGTACGGAAAGTTCGACAAAATCACTACTCATTAAGATTATCTTACCGGGGTCAAACTTTGACGTAGTAACTCCGAGAGACAAACCAGCAGCTTCAAGTTTCGAATCTACTAAGAGCTTGCGATAATCCCTATCTTCTTTATCCAAGCTGGCCAAAGTTATCAACTTTCCACCGAATTCCGGACTTAACTTCGGTTCTTTTTGCTTGGTCTCTTTTTCTACAAAGAGCAAAAGTTCCGACCTGTTAGTACACAGAACAACACCAAAATCAGGAAAGTATATCCGAATTGAACAAAATAAAACAGACTCACTTGCTCTGGAATGAATAAACATGGGGATTGTCATCCCATCAATTCGGGGCTCATGGAAGAAGCCCTCTGACTGCCACTCCCCGCCAATCCATAGCCACTCCTCCTGGAAGCCATGAAGACTCTCTGGGATCTCGGTTACTATTTCACCGACTTTAACGCCGTGCTGCGGTTTCGCTCCGGCAAAGAAACAGCATGAGGATTCAGCAACCCTCCTCTTCGGACTTTGTTTAAAAAGGAAAATACTCCGCATTTCCTCGCATGACGGCAACCCCTCACCGTGCTCGTGCAGCAATACCATCAAACCGATTATTTTTTTCCAACTATTCGGGGTAATCTGACACAACGGTAACCCCCAACTTCGGAGGTATTCCGTAATCAAGTTCGGCAACGGGAACCTTAATCCCGACCTCAAACTCTCCGCAAAGATGCCCACACAACCTGGAGGTGGACTTGTTATCCTCTCTCCGGGATAAGGGGCGAAAATTTTCACCGAGGGAGGGATCCGCACCTGCTCTCTCAGCAACACTACATCAGCATCGATCAAGATACTTGGTTCACCCACAAAATCGACCGCAGGATCGGGCCACTTCCTCACCGGTCTTCTCCAATGGGGCACCGCGAGGTCGGCCGCGTTATGTTCTACGACCAGATCACCGTCCTCATCGTTCAACTTAATATCCAGATTTCTCACCAACGACGGGTCCCATCGGTGGTATTCGAAGGCCAATTCAACCAGTTCCGAATCGTGGTAAACCTCCAACGGAACCGACTCAGTACTCGACGAACTTGCCACCGCCTTACCCTTACCCTTCGACGCCATCACCCAACAAAATAAAATACAAGAAAAATAGAGGAAGAATCGAAGAAAAAGCTTACCACAAAGTCCGCAAACACTCAGTGCGCAAGAAACAACTCTCGAGCTCAAAAGAATTTCCACAACAAAATTACTGGATGCAAAAGTCTGAGGATGAAAGCGCAAGTTAAGAAAACTCGATCAATAATTGCGAAACCCTATTTATAATTTCCGATTTATGACCGTTGGGGATCTTAATTAGGGGCGCGTCCAACCGACGCGACCCCTAATTCCAACCGGCGCCATCTTTTCGTCTGACAGAAGCCTACCGTTACACGTGGCAGCCTATTAAAGCCGACCGTTACCTCATTTAAGACCATTACGGCGCGACCGTTCGTCCTAACATTAAATCGTTGACCGTTACGACTGTTCATATCCCTCCTGTCGCGACTGTCTGTAAATTACTCAAATCTTACCAAGTGTCTTCACCTCGGAATACAGTCTGTACTTCGGAACAAACAACTCACTTCGGCTACCTCGGTTACGTCGGTCGTGAGCCCAAAGATGACTCTCCGAAGATGATAAACACTCTGCCGCTGACTTTTTACCGATTCGGAGCCTCTAAATGTTTAGCAACATCGATGACCATCACTCCGTATGCCCACCGATATTGGGGGCCTCTCTGTTATCATCCGACTCGGCAAAACACCATTGAGAGGTTTTAAGCATCTTGTTAAGTGCAATTAACTATTGAACCGACGTGATTCGGGACCGTACCGATCCACACAAAGAACCGGTCTGAACCACCAAAGACCGAAGTGACCAAGATCCACCGAGGTTTACTCAAACCGAGGTCATCACCTCCTCAAGCAGGTGACAAGGCACATATGCACACCCATCACGCTCTACGAGATTTGTCATCATTCATGCGGGACCCACTGCTCCAAACCGCCCACCAAAAGCTACTTTATACCAAAAAGTAGTACACAAATCCCAGTGTATCCACCAAAAATTACTATAAATAGCGACCCTATGACATTTGTACGGGGGATCCCCGAATTTCAAAAAAGATGCAACACGTAAAAGCCCATCACGGCTCTT